ATGTTGGCCAGGCTGGTCTCAAACTCCTGAACTCATGATCCACCCACCTCAGTCTCCCAAAGTGCTGGGATTACAGACATGAAACACGATGCTCCGCCTATTTTTTTTTTTTCTTTCTTTCTTTCTTTTTTTTTTTTTGAGAAAGACTAACTCTGTCACCCAGGCTGGAGTGCAGTAGCACGATCTTTGCTCACTGCAAAACCTCCGCCTCCCAGGTTCAAGTGAGTCTCATGCCTCAGCCTCCCCAAGTAGCTCAGATTATAGTTGCATACTACCATTCCCAGCTAAGTTTTGCTTTTTTTTGGGTAGAGATATGATTTCACTATGCTGGCCAGGCTAGTCTTGAACTCTTGATCTCAGGTGATCGGCCCGCCCTGGCTTCCCAGAGTACTGGGATTACAGGCATGAGCCACTGCATCTGGCCAATCCCTCCTTTTTTTTTTGGAGATGGAGTCTTGCTCTGTCACCAGGCTGGAGTGCAGTGGTGCGATCTTCGCTCACTGCAACCTCCACCTCTTTGGTTCAAGTGATTCTCATGCCTCAGTCTCCCCAGTAGCTGGGATGACAGGCATGCCCCACCATACCCAGCTACTTTTTGTATTTTTAGTAGAGTAGAGATGGGATTACCATGTTGGCCAGGCTTGTCTAAAATTCCTGACCTCATGTTCTGCCTGACTCAGCCTCCCAAAGCACTGGTATCACAGGTGTGAACCACTGTACCTGGCCACCCCCTACTTTTGTCATGTGAATTCTCTTCTCTCCTATTTTGGTTTAATTGATACTCAGACTTCCCATTTCTCTGTCTCTGAATTCCAAGTGCTATAATATAAAAGTTCTTAACCCATGTCCAAGGATTCTATAAGCCACCTGAATTCACATGCAAAAAAACCCCAGATTTTGTTTTTGTGGGTGCATGTGCATTTTTCTAGGGATAGATATTACGAGATTTCCAAGGACATCTGTGACCCATGAAAAGTTAAGAATTTCACTTTCAGCTGGGCGCAGTGGCTTATGCCTGTAATCCTAGCACTTTGGGAGGCTAAGGCGGGAGGATTGCTTGCGGCCAGGAGTTTGAGACCAGCCTGGGCCACATAGGGAGATCTGTCTCTACAAAAAATTTAAAAATCAGCTAGGCATGGTGGTGTACACCAGTAATCCCAGCTACTCAGAAGGTTTAGTTGGGAGGATTGCTTGAGCCCAGGAGATCAAGGTGCAGTGAGCTATGATCATGCCACTGCACTCCAGCCTGGGTGACAGAGTGAGACTGTCTCAAAAAATAACAATAGGCTGGGCACAGTGGCTCGGCCTGTAATCCCAGCACTTTGGGATGCTGAGGTGGGTGGATCACTTGAGGTCAGGTGTTCCAGACCAGCCTGGCCAACATGGTGAAACCTCGTCTCTACTAAAAATACAAAAATTAGGGCTGGATGCGGTGGCTCACGCCTGTAATCCCAGCACTTTGGGAGGCCGAGGCGGGTGGATCACAAGGTCAAGAGATCGAGACCATCCTGGTCAACAAGGTGTAACCCCATCTCTACTAAAAATACAAAAAATAAGCTGGGCATGGTGGCACGTGCCTGTAATCCCGGCTACTCAGGAGGCTGAGGCAGGAGAATTGCCTGAACCCAGGAGGCAGAGGCTGCGGTGAGCCGAGATCACGCCATTGCACTCCAGCCTAGGTAACAAGAGCGAAACTCCGTCTCAAAAACAAAAACAAAAACAAAAATTAGCCGGGCGTGGTGGCACATGCTTGTAATCCCAGCTACTTGGGAGGCTGCAGCAGGAGGATCACTTGAATTCAGGAGACAGAGGTTGCAGTAGCTGAGCTACCACTGCACTTCATCCTGGATGACAGAGTGAGACTCTGTCTCAGAAAACAATTTAAAATATTATAAATAAACTTTCTTTATTCAGCATCTGTTGTAGATGCCAAATGAGGAACAAGGGCAAGGGATTAAGCTTGAAATCTCATTCCTTGCTGACTCAGGCTCTCTTTCACCCTTTATTTCTTATAGAGGGCTCAAGATTTGTGGGTGTCAGCTGAAGAGATTGGGCCAACACCCCAGCCCCACCCCCAGCCCATTTAAATTTGTTAGTTCCTGGCCAGGCAAGGATTTGTATAGTGTTGGATTTTTACATAGTGTAAACACTCTTAGTTCTTTTTTCTGTGACTCCATGTTCTGATCCTCTGGATCACCACAAGTTTCTATCTTAGCTGGGATAGCAGGGGGTGTCTCCTCTTTCTGGCTGCCCTAGCAGAGTTTACATCTCTTCCCCCTCCTGTCCTGCAGGTCTCTGCTTGCTACTCCCACCGTCACCCCATGATTTCAGCACTGTAGCCTTGCCCAGCCCACCACTCAGGCTGGGCAAAGCTGGAGGCTTCCTCAGAAAGCAAGCTCCCTGACTTAGCTGAGCCCCCGCAGCGGGTGAGGTAACCAAGCCTGTTAGGGCTTGCTTGCTGCCTCCCACATCTCCCTGCAGTATCTTACCATATCTCCACATACTCAGCTGGCCATTGGCTCCCAGGTTTTTTTTTTTTTTTTTTTTTTTTGAGACGGAGTCTTGCTCTGTCACCCAGGCTGGAGTGCAGTTGCGCGATCTTGGCTTACTGCAGCCTCCACCTCCTGGGTTCAAGTAATTATCCTGCCTTAACCTTCCGAGTAGCTGGGATTACAGGCATGCGCCACCATGCCCAGCTAATTTTTTGTATTTTTATTAGAGACAGGGTTTCGCCATGTTGGCCAGGCTGATCTGGAACTCTGATTTCAAGTGATCTGCCTGCCTTGGTCTCCCAAAGTGCTGGAATTGCAGGTGTGAGCCACTGCACCTGGCCTGGGCTCCCAGCTTTTAACTAGAAACAGGCAGAGGTAATCAGTCAGTGCTGGAGTTTAACAGTCTCCTGGCCAGGGGTACTGGCTATACTCTGTGTTATGATAGATCCTCCCATTTGTACAGATGAGTATCTAGGGTCAGTGTCTAGTGACAATGGCTCTGACCTCCCTAGGTCTGATTTCCAAGGCCCCTTTGTGGCCCAAAAGCAGATAGTGTCATTCATGTGCATCAGACACACATGGGAGGTGTGGGGCAGGTTGAGTCTGAGAGGAGAAGCAGAAAGGGGGAAATAAGCGCAAACTCATTTCATGCTGACTCAGGCTTTCTTCCACTCCTTACTCCTAAGGAGTGCTTGGGAAGTGTGGGTGGCAGCTGGAGCAGTATAGATGGCATATGCATACCCTGTCTCTGGGAGGTCTCAGCCTCCAGCCAGACCACTCTCCTCAGAGGCCTTGGGCCCCAAGAAGCTGATTGTCCCTGATTGCCCATCTCTCTCTGTCCAGAGTTCCATGGACTGGATGAGGCAACTCTACTTCGGGCTCTGCAGGCCCTACAGCAGGAGCACAAGGCCGAGATCATCACCGTCAGCGATGGCCGAGGCGTCAAGTTCTTCTAGCAGAGATCTATCTCCCTTTACTTCTTACCTCCTACCTTTCCAGGGCTTTCAAAAGGAGACAGACCCAGTGTCCCCTAAAGACTGGATCTGTGACTCCACCAGACTCAAAAGGGCTCCAGTCCTGAAGGCTGGGACCTGGGGATGGGTTTCTCACACCCCTATCCCTCGGATAGGGTGAGGCCGAAGCACCAGGGAGAAAAGATGTGCTTCTTCTTGCCCTGCCTCCTCTCCCATCCTAGCCTGTCCCTGAGCCAGGGTCTGTAAACCTAACACTTTATATTTGTTCACACGTGTTAGTACATACACACATGAGCCTGCAGCACATGCTTCTGTCCCCTCCTCCTTCCACCCCTTTAGCTGCTGTTGCCTCCCTTCTCAGGCAGGTGCTGGATCCTTCCTAGGGGATGGGGGAAGCCCTGGCTGCAGGCAGCCTTCCAGGCATTATGAAGATAGGAGACCCAAGGGCCTGGCAGTGAGAGGTGTGGCCCAACACTGATTTCTGATATTAAAATCTCAGCTCCCACTGCCTGCCTCTTAAATTATTACAGTACTGGAATGGGGATGAGGCGGGCTGTGAAGTGTTACCATCTGAGTAAATCCCAGCCAAGGAGAGGAGAGAGAAGAAAGCCTATGGCTTTTGTAGAAAAAAAGGTCCTCCAGGGCCCTGCGGGCTCCAGTGAGCCTGTGGTTTTACATCTGCTGGGTGGGCTGTGTGGAGGAGTGCTGATGGAACACAGCTTGGGGACAGACTGCTTTCTCTCTGAATTGGAGTCACTTAAGGGCTCCCTCTTCCCTCACCATCTCCCCCATGGAAGTCCTGAACTACTCTGAAGCCCCTCCCTCCACCCATCTGGTCTGGGTGGGGTTCCTGTGGCCAGGGGGAGCTGAGGGGGTAAGCCGGATGTGGACTTTGGTTTATTGGAGACTTCGGCAAACAGAAGGGGAGGAAGGAGAGCCCACATAGCAAAAACAGCCACTCTGGCCAGGGCCAGGCTGCGGCCAAGGTGGCCTGGAGGGGATGGATGACCGACCGGGCTCTCGGTTTGGGGGAGGGACTTATCCTGGGGAGCACACACCCATCCCTATGCAGACCAGAGGGACGACAACGTCGGATCTTTCCACTGACCTCTGTATGGTCGGCCTGGGGCTACTCCGGACGGTTCGGAGGGGGTGGTGCTGCCTTATCTGGGGTGTGCAGGCCGGTGGTAGTCTCCCTCTAAGTAACCCCCTACTAGAGCCCGGGAGCCGCAGGCACGTTTCCTCTCCTGTCTGGGTGTCGTCTCCCCCCTCAACTCCCCCTGCCCCCCGATCCCCGCGCACAAACAGGTTTGCGCACTCTTAGTGCGGGAGGATCCAGCGCGGTCTCGCACTTAGTTCTGGCCTTGGAGTGAGACTGGCCGGGGAGGCTCGGGAGATAAGGGGAAACTGCTGGGTGGGGCGGCGACTAAGGTGAGGGGCTGCTCATCCACACCGCGAGCCACTCGGAGGGGTGGCCTTGGGGGGCAAGGGCGGGCCGCGGGGCGGGGCGGGGGCGGAGCCGGGGCCGGGCCGAGCCAGGGGCTCGGGCCCCAGCGGCTCAGCCGGAGCACTGCGCACCCAGCGGGTCCGCCTGTCAGGCCGCCGCCTCTTCGACCGTCTGGCTTTCCACCCTTCGGCGCTCTGCCCTTCCTCATGTTGGCACCCCCGGCCACGGAGACCGCCGTCCCCATGTCCCAGACTGAGGCCGACCTGGCCCTCCGGCCCCCGCAGCCTCTTGCCTCCACGGGGCCGCCCCGTCCCGGGCCCCATCCCCGCCGAGCGCGGCGCTTCTCCGGGAAGGCAGAGCCCCGGGCGCGCTCTTCTCGTCTCAGCCGCCGTAGCTCAGTCGACTTGGGGCTGCTGAGCTCTTGGTCCCTGCCAGCCACACCCTCTCCGGAACCCCCCGATCCTCCGGACTCTGATGGTCCTGGCCCCGCGAGGAGCCCACCGCCTGGCTCCAAAGAACCCCCTGGGGGCACGTGGGCCAAGGGAGCCCCTGTGAAGGCTGCAGACTCCGCGCGTCCCGAGCTCCCAGGTTCTGCAGTGGGTCCAGGGTCCAGGGAGCCGCTGAGGGTCCCTGAAGCTGTCGCCCTAGAACGGCGGCGGGAGCAGGAAGAAAAGGAGGACATGGAGACCCAGGCTGTGGCTACGTCCCCCGACGGCCGATACCTCAAGTTTGACATCGAAATTGGACGTGGCTCCTTCAAGACCGTGTATCGAGGGCTAGACACCGACACCACAGTGGAGGTGGCCTGGTGTGAGCTGCAGGTGCGGCTGGGCGCCTCTTCGGTGGCACCTTGGGATGGGACTCTGGAGGTCTTAGGATGAGAGACAGAGGGTGGGGGAGACAGCGTCAAGGGAAGGATTTATTTTTCCAATCAAATGTCCAGACACCTCTGCTGTCTTTGCCCTGAATGATCTGGCTGACTCTAGCTGCAAGAGAAACTGAGGCAGGTGGTGTCTGGCGACTCTCCCATGGGCATGAACATTCTCACTTTAAAGTCTCCATACTCAACCCTGAGAGGTGGAAACTAGGAAGTTGGGTTGGGGAGCCAATTCAGGTCAGTTTCCTGCTGGTAGGTATCCACAATCCCTTCCTCTCCCCTAAGTCCTGAGATCCTCAGTTATGATCCTGGTCCTCTTGATCGCCTCACTCCTCCCCATCCCCCACCTATTTGCAGACTAGGAGGTTGGGAGACGGGAAGCCAGGAGGTGAGCAAGGGTCCTCTCCAACTCCAAAAGATTTAGGGAAGTTGTAGCGGAATGGGGTCCCCTAGCCCTTCTGGAGCAGTCAGACTTCTGGACTTCTCCACAGTTGCGAGGAGGGGGAGACATAGGGAGCCCCAGCTCTCGAATAAGTGCAGTTCTGATCCTCATCCCACTGCCTACCTGTGCTCTCCCTTCCCAGACCTAAAGGCACTAAGCCCATGGGCTTCAGGGAGGACCTTCCTCCCATTGCTCCCATGCTACGTGTGGGTTAGGAGAACCCAGTCAACTTGGGGCCCAAAGCTTTGGATTCAGATCAGGGGACAAAGCCTAAGGGAAGGGTCCCTCTCTGGCCCTGGCACAGGGCTCGCCCCTTGTGCCTGCCAGTGCCGCGCCCCAGGCTCTAGGCCAGGCCAGGAGCGGCAGCCAAACTGGGGGGTGAGAGGAGGGAGAGGAGTCGGGGCGGGATAACTATGGGGGGCGGGGGGTGGCTTCCTGGCGCCTAGTCCTGGATCTTTTCTTTCTTTCTCTGTACCTCCCTCCACAGCCCTCCCACCTTCAGTCTGGATCTAGCAGTTCCCGGTTTCTGGGGCCAACCCCCTTGCCGGCCCCAATTCCCTGCCAGCAGTCTCCTGCTGCCCGCCTGCTGCCTGCTCTCTGCCATCCCCCGGGCACCCCCTCCCGCCCCATGGCCAGTCTGGGCAGCCACAAAGGCACTATTGAGCTCAGGGCTCCCGGACGGGGCTGCATAAAGGCGCTTGTGTCCAGCAGGGGGTCTAGGGGGCTGCCCCAGGCCCAGGTTGGTTGTGTCCTTGGAGCGGCTTACATGGGTACTGTTGGAAAGTTCTGGGTCTGCAGCCCATTGGGCGAGTGATCCCACTACTCCCAGCCCATCTGTGGGAACCAACCCTCACCTCTTCCCCAACCCCACTGCAGGTGTCCCTCTTCCTTTCTATGGGGGTCCTGGACCTGACATGACACCAGTCCCCCATCCCACAGACTCGGAAACTGTCTAGAGCCGAGCGGCAGCGCTTCTCAGAGGAGGTGGAGATGCTCAAGGGGCTGCAGCACCCCAACATCGTCCGCTTCTATGATTCCTGGAAGTCGGTGCTGAGGGGCCAGGTTTGCATCGTGCTGGTCACCGAACTCATGACCTCGGGCACGCTCAAGACGTGAGCTCTGCACATGAGTGGGTGGGGAGAGGGAGGCTGGGATGTGTGCCCACTGCTTCCTGAACTCCCAGGCTCCTCAGACTGTCTATATCCAGGTGTAAAACCAGGCTCACCATCTCCCTTTACCCAACCTGTGTCCCTCCCTTGGTGAGTGGCTATGTCCACCTAGCACTCCAGCCAGACTCCTCTCTTTCCGCCCTGCCCCCTCATCAGTCTGTCTCCACGTCTCTCCTTAACCTCTCCCCACCTGGCTTTCACTGCTCCATCCATGGCACCACCGCAATGCCACCTTGCTGATCTGCAGCCCTGCAGCAGCCCCCTAAAGGGTCTTCTCAAACTCTGCCACCCTCTAAGTGATCCTATCTTCCTGCAGCCTGGAGGATCTTTCCCAGTCGAAAATCTGAACTGTCACTCCTCTCCTTAAAACCCCTTCAAGTTTTCTCATGGCCTCGGGATAAAACCCACACGGGCTCATCTGCTCACACTGGCCATGCTCAAGCGTGCCTCCTTTGCCAAGCTTAGGATACAGCCCCGCTTTCAGCCTAAGTTCTAGACACACTGAATTCCTGGGACCTCCTCCCACTCTGCCCTGCCCTGGCTTTTTCCGTGCCTTTGAGCATGGTGTCCTGTCTGCCTGGAAAGTCTCCATCCCTTCCCCCTTTCACCTTTGAGCTTCTACTCATCATTCAAGATGCAATACAAAAGTATTTCCTCTCTGAAGCCCTCCCTCATGCTCGGGGCAGTTAGTCGTCTCTTCCTGCACTCCCAAAGCACCTCCGCGGAGGCCCTATCTATCAATTTACCTTCCAACCCGTTTGGTAACATCATGTCTATCCACCACATCCCCTGACTCAGTTGCTCCCTGGGGCCGGGCAGACATAGGCTAGGAGAATGCTGGCAGAAGATGAGGAGGTGGCAGCAGGGTGCCACAGTGGGGAGCTTCCCAGTAGAGGGCTCCTCCCCCGAGGATGTGTCCCCCACCGACCCTGGCTATGCTCCCTCCCCCAGGTACCTGAGGCGGTTTCGGGAGATGAAGCCCAGAGTCCTTCAGCGCTGGAGCCGCCAAATCCTTCGGGGGCTTCATTTCCTACACTCTCGGGTTCCTCCCATCCTGCACCGGGACCTCAAGTGCGACAATGTCTTTATCACAGGCCCTACTGGCTCTGTCAAAATCGGGGACCTGGGCCTGGCCACACTCAAGCGTGCCTCCTTTGCCAAGAGTGTCATTGGTGGGTCTCTCCAGGAAGGTCCTTCCTCCCCCACCTCAGAAGAGAACGTGGGGATGCCCTCCCCTCAGCAAGGCCCTTCGAGGTCCACAGAATTACCAGACCACAGGGAAGCTGGGGAGATCTATGGCATCCCCCCTCAACCCCACTGTGGGCTGAGGTCACTTGCATGTGCAGGGTTGCCCAGGGCTGCCTAGCCCAAGGAGCAGGACGAGGCCAGAGTGCCCAGCAACCTGATCCCTGCTGTGAACCCTACAGGGACCCCGGAATTCATGGCCCCCGAGATGTATGAGGAAAAGTATGATGAGGCCGTGGACGTGTACGCATTTGGCATGTGCATGCTGGAGATGGCCACCTCTGAGTACCCATACTCCGAGTGCCAGAATGCCGCGCAAATCTACCGCAAGGTCACTTCGGTGAGAGGGATGGGATTGGCAGGAATGGGAATTCTAGGACCACTTCCCATTTTCCTGCCCGGCCAGCCCACAGTCAATGCCCTTTGCCTGCACGAAAACAGGCTAGACAGAGATACCTTGGTGAACCCAGAAGGATGTACACGCTATTTAGAATAATAATGTGTGTGGTGCTCCCAAGAGTTCACAATTTCGCATCCAGTCTCACATCCAATCCTTCCAGCTGCCCGTCGAGGTGAGCAGGGCAAATGTTCCTCCCTGCAATTTACAGATGAACAAATAGTGGGAGACTTGTTCAAGGTCACACTGTAAATACTTGGGTTGATTGGGGGGACTGGGATTTGAAATCAAATCTTGCAGTAGCAGTCAGGCTTTTGCAGCTGCACGTGCAGCTGCCTAAGGCAGGAATGGAGTAAAGGGTGGGGGGTGTGAAGCCGAGAGCTGGGGGTCAGAGGATGGGCGGTGTCATGCAACCCCTCTCCACAGGGCACAAAGCCGAACAGCTTCTACAAGGTGAAGATACCCGAGGTGAAGGAGATCATTGAAGGCTGCATACGCACGGATAAGAACGAGAGGTGGGGGTGAAAGGGCAGAGCGTGGGTAGTAAGGGGCCCGGGCTGCGGCGGGCTCGGCTCACCCACGCCTCACCCTCAGGTTCACCATCCAGGACCTCCTGGCCCACGCCTTCTTCCGTGAGGAGCGCGGTGTGCACGTGGAACTAGCGGAGGAGGACGACGGCGAGAAGCCAGGCCTCAAGCTCTGGCTGCGCATGGAGGACTCGAGGCGCGGGGGGCGCCCACGGGACAACCAGGCCATCGAGTTCCTGTTCCAGCTGGGCCGGGACGTGGCCGAGGAGGTGGCACAGGAGATGGTGAGTGGAGGACAGACTGGTACTGCCACTGGGCGTGTAAAGGGCGTTGACCAGAGGGGATAGTGCAACAGGGATGGGTGCAGGAGGGGTGGCAGCGATGGGGGCAGGCCACTTCCCCGCTCACAAGATCTCCTGCAGCATCTCCCTGCCTCTCCAGCCCTAATTCATGCGCACGCACACCCAGTTTTTCTTTACAAGAGGAGCCTTGGGTCCTCCAGCGTCCCTGCTTTACCTCCAGCTGAGCTGTTCTTCCTGGAATGCCCTTCTTGCCAATTTATCTTTTCCCTCTTTCCTCCCTCCCTCTTGTTCTTTTTCTTTTTCTTCCAACATGATCAGAACCATCGATTTTGGAAAGCCGTCCCCTCTGGAGTCCAACTTAAATGCTCCTTTCTACTTCAACAGGTTCTTGGTTACAGCACTCATCACCATGGGTCCTGCCTGTCTTAAAGCTGAATAAGTTCCTATCTTTCTTCTCCACTAGACTATAAACTCCCTGAGGACAGAGACTGTGTCTTACTGATTCTCCTATCCCTGGCAATGCTTGGCACATAGTAAGAGCTCAGTCATAGCCCATATCTGTACATGGCTTAAAGCACTTTTGCCGGGCACAGTGGCTCACGCCTGTAATCCCTGCACTTTGGGAGGCTGAGGCCGGTGAATCACCTGAGGTCAGGATTTCGAGACCAGCCTGGCCAACATGATAAAACCCTGTCTCTACTAAAAATACAAAAAATTAGTTGGGCATGGTAGCACGCACCTGGAATCCTAGCTACTCAGAGGCTGAGGCAGAATTGCTTGAACCTAGGAAGCGGAGGCTGCAGTGAGCTGAGATCAAGTCACTGCATTCCAACCTGGTCAACAAGAGCAAAACTCCATCTAAAAAAAAAAAAAAACCAACCATTTTCACATGCATTTGAGCTTTGCTACCCATTCTGCATACAGAGCAGTTTTATGTCAACTTATTGATGAGGAAATGGAAATTCAGAGAGGTTGCATACCTTGTCCAGAGCCTCAAGTAAGTAATTAAGTGGAACAGCTGGATTGAAACTGAGGTGGTTCAGATTTTAAATCAGGTTACTCTGCTCCACCTCCTTTACTCACTCATCAAAGTTTGTGGCTAAAAGGAATGAAGAGGTGATGAATGGAAGCTGGTAGAAGAGAAGAGATGTAAGAGGCAAGGGCAGAAGCTTGGGGGTGGCTTAGGAAGTCCTGAAGGGACTGTGGGATTTTTGAGGGAGTCTTGCTGTCACTCAGGCTGGAGTGAAATGGTGCTATCTCAACTCATGGCAACCTCTGCCTACTGGGTTCAAGCGATTCTCCTGCCTCAGCCTCCTGAGTAGCTAGGATTACAGGCACAAGCCACAATGCCAAGCTAATTGTATTTTTAGTAGAGACAGGGTTTCACCATGCTGGCCAGGCTGGTCTCAAACTCCTGACCTCAAGTGATCTACTTGTCTTGGCCTCCCAAAGTTCTGGGATTACAGGTGTGAGCCACTGCACCCGGCCCCAAGTATGGGATTTTTTTTTTTTTTCGAGACAGGGTTTCACCACGTTAGCCAGGCTGGTCTCGAACTCCTGACCTCAGGTAATCTACCTGCCTTGGCCTCCCAAAGTGCTGGGATAACAGCTGTGAGCCACTGCGCCTGGCCCCAAGTATGGGATTTCTAATACAGAGATGACACTTGCAAGGGTGGAGACCACCTATGGTGGGTCAAGAACCTGAGAATGTGTTAGAAATTTAGAGTAAGTCTCCATAGCACTGCCCAACCTGACCTGAGATCAAATCTGATCCATTGCTGACAAGGGATTCTTGGCCTTGGCACTGTTGACATCTTTGTTTTAGGGACTGTCCCGTGCATTGTAAGATGTTGAAAAGAACCCCTGGCTTCCACTCACTAGATTCAGTAACACCTACCCTCCAGTTTTGACAACTAAAAATGTCTCTAGATACTGCCAAATGTCTCTTCTCCCCATTGGAAACCACTGACTTACTGTATGACTATGAACCGGCCACTTCATTAATCTCTGAAATGGGATAGTAAGATTAATCCCACAAGGTTGTTGGATCTAGTGATGATAATGTAAGGAGCTGCCGGTTAGCAGACATAGTGGGTAAACAGGAAGTGTTGGTTTCCTTCCTCTCATATTCTGGAGGTCCCAAGAAGTGATCTGATGGATCTTTGAGGAGGGGACCCAAGCTGTGTTCCTCACCCCCACCCCAACTCCAGGTGGCTCTGGGCTTGGTCTGTGAAGCCGATTACCAGCCAGTGGCCCGTGCAGTACGAGAACGGGTTGCCGCCATCCAGCGAAAGCGTGAGAAGCTTCGTAAAGCTAGGGAACTGGAGACACTCCCACCGGAGCCAGGACCTCCACCAGCAACTGCACCCATGGCTCCCCATCCTCACAGTGTCTTCCCTGCTGAGCCTGAGGAGCCAGAGGCAGACCAGCACCAGCCCTTCCTTTTCCGCCATGCAAGCTACTCATCTACCACCTGTAAGTCTCCTCTGATCTTGAGACATAGGTCCCAAAACACCTTGGCCTCTGTCCCCAACCCAGAAATCCGACCCCTGCAGCAGTCACTTACCCTGCCTTCCACCTGTGGCCATGAAGCTCCCTCCTGGAAGGAACTCTCCCACAGCTCCAGGCCCCCCTTGCTTAGGCAGGCCCCTTCTTCTCCCACTCCCTTTTATTTCCCCTTTTTTTGATCCCCTCCCTCACCAGCGGATTGCGAGACCGATGGCTACCTCAGCTCGTCCGGCTTCCTGGATGCCTCAGACCCTGCCCTTCAGCCCCCTAGGGGGGTGCCATCCAGCCCAGCTGAGTCCCATCTCTGCCTGCCCTCGGTGAGAGGGGGCCACATGGGGGGCTCCCAGCCATTCCAAGCCTATGACCTACTTCCCTCCTTGAGAAACCCAATCTCATGATCCAGCCTGATGTCCCTGGGAATCCACCACTCTTGTCCTCCTCTTCCCTAATTCCATTTAATTCCCTAATATCCTCCGAGCATCCTTGGTAACATCTCCCTAGATCGCAACAGTTATCTTCCTGACCTCATGAGCCCTCATTCTGTTTCAGGCTTTTGCCCTATCCATTCCACGTTCTGGCCCTGGAAGTGACTTTTCCCCTGGGGACAGGTATGTTCTAGGGTAAGTTGGGGTGCTGGGATGAGACACATGGGTCACTGGGGTCCCAGTGTCTGCTCAGACCGTCATTCTATGTCCTTTCCCTTTTCCAGCTATGCCTCAGATGCAGCATCAGGCCTTAGCGATGTGGGAGAAGGGATGGGACAAATGAGGAGACCCCCTGGGAGGAATCTCCGGCGCAGACCCCGATCCCGACTGCGGGTCACTAGTGTAAGGAAGGGGCACAGGAGATGGAGAGTAACCTACAGGGCCAGGAGGGAAGTGTCAGCAGGATGTGGGGGAGGTCGACCAGAAAAGGGGAGAAGCAGTGTGTGACTGGTACTCAAGAGGCAGCCAATCTAGTTTTTAATACCAGACTTTAGGGGTTGGGTCTACTTATCTCCAAGTTCAGTCTGGCTACTGTCACTTGGTTGGGGTAGAGTGGAGACACAGCATGATGACAGAGGGCTTGACCTCCTCCCCTCTGCTGACTTTGAATCTGAAGGTCTCAGACCAGAATGACAGAGTGGTTGAGTGCCAGCTACAGACTCACAACAGCAAGATGGTGACCTTCCGATTTGATCTGGATGGGGACAGCCCGGAAGAGATTGCAGCTGCCATGGTGAGGGGGAGAGAGATGAGAACAGAGTGTTTGGATCTGGAACAAGAGTCTCCCTCCTGATGTCCGCTGGGGCTGAAACCCACTGATTCGAGAGCAAGGGTTTTTTTTTTTTTTTGACATGGAGTCTCCATGTCCCCCAGGCTGGGGTGCAATGGCGAAATCTTGGCTCACTGCAATCTCTGCATCCTGGGTTCTGGCGATTCTCCTGCCTCAGCCTCCCGAATAGCTGGGATTACAGGCACCCACCACCACGTCCAGCTAATTTTTGTGTTTTTCAGTAGAGATGAGGTTTCACTATGTTGGTCAGGCTGGAATCGAACTCCTGACCTCAGATGATCCACCCACCTCAGCCTCCCAAAGTGCTGGGATAACAGGCATGAGCCACCACACCCGGCGACAGCAAGCATTTTTAAAGCACTGGTTGACACTTAACACAGCCCTTGTTTTTGGGGAGATTTCTGTTTATCCAGTGAGGTTTGGCTTCTCAGCTGGAGCAATTTGAGACTCACATTGACCAGGTGCACACAAGTGCTACGTGTAAGTGCCTGGTAGACGTGCAATACTGTGGCTGGAGGGAAGGATGGGCTGGGCAGCAGGGGCAGTGGGCTTACCCAGGATCTTGGCGGATGGACCAGAAAGGCCATGAAGGGTAGAAAGGCTGTAAAGGGCATCCCTATGTAGGGACAGCATAAGCAGAGGCATTCCAAGTAGAGAACGACTTGGAATATGGGGCTGGGAGGGCTTCATGAGGAAACCACTGTCATTGGAAGTAAAGATTCCTATAGAACTGTGGGAAATGAAGCTGGGTAGGTAGCGTGGGCCCAGATTACAAGATAGACAGTGTTAAGAGTTAGGCTGAGCTGGGCGCGGTGGCTCAAGCCTGTAATCCCAGCACTTTGGGAGGCCGAGGCGGGTGGATCACGAGGTCAAAAGATCGAGACCATCCTGGTCAACATGGTGAAACCCCGTCTCTACTAAAAATACCAAAAATTAGCTGGGCATGGCAGCGCGTGCCTGTAATCCCAGCTACTCAGGAGGCTGAGGCAGGAGAATTGCCTGAACCCAGGAGGCGGAGGTTGCGGTGAGCCGAGATCGCGCCATTGCACTCCAGCCTGGGTAATAAAAGCGAAACTCCATCTCAAAAAAAAAAAAAAAAAAAAGAGTTAGGCCGAGTGGGCTGGGTCCAGTGGCTCACACCTGTAATCCCAGCACTCTGGGAGGATGAAATAGGAGGATCACTTGAGCCCAGGAGTTTAAGACCACCCTAGGAAACATAGCAAGACCCTATCTCTACAAAAAATTTTTAAAATTAGCCATGTGTGGTGGCACATGCCTGTAGTCCCAACTACTTGGGAGGCTGAGTTGGGAGGATCATTTGAGCCTGAGAGGTCAAGGCTGCAGTGAGCTGTGATCATGCCACTGCACTCCAGCCTGGGAGGCAGAGTGAGACTTTGTATCAAAAAATAAAAAAAAGTTAGGCAGAGTGTAACATGGTGACAGTAGGCTTGGTGAAGACCATCTGCCATGGGATGTGGAAGGGGGTTAGAGGAAAGGAAAATAACTGGGAGGTAGGCCCAGGAAGCCACATGTGGACAAAGAAGAGGGTGGCTTATGGGAGGGAAGAGGAGAAAGGGTGAACTTGAGGGTTGTTTCGGGAAAATAAGTTACTCTGTAATCCAGTAGCTTATTGATGTAATACAGTAGTACCTAGTACACAGTAGATGCTCAATAAATATTTGCTGAGTTGATATGATAGGGAGTTGGGGAGAAGAAATATCAAGGACAACTTGTAGGCCACCAAAGGAGAGAGGAAGTTAGAAGTGAAAGTCTTTTTTTAAAGGGCCTTGATGAGCTTCAGTGAAGAAGGAAAAGCCAAGACCAAGATCCTCCCAAGCCATGGGAAATGGGTCAGCAGGGCTGGAGAGAGGTGGATTAAGGAGTGGTCAGCACAGAGTTGAGAGTGAAGGGAGATGAGCCTGCAAAGCCAGAGACATAGAGGGCTGGAGAGTGTGACCCAGGGCATACCATCCATTCTGGAATGGGAAGCAGGAGGATAGGTCATGGAAGGACACAGAGATGAAGCCAGAGAGGTAGGAGGATGTGAGTAAAAACTGAGTGAGGAGAGAGTTTCACGGAGGTGGTGTTAAGGTGAATCCTCAGGCAAGACCACACTGGCTTTTGTTAGAACATCTTTGTGGGAGACCAGTTTCAGTGGAGTAGAGGAGGTGGATGCCAGCCCCTGGGGTGAAGGAGGGGAGAGAGTGGGAGAAACGAAAGGCATCAGGAGCCCTCTCTAAAGCTTCTCCTCCACCATGTCATTCCCCTTGTATCCAGGACAAAGACACAATCTCACCTGGCACACAAGGCTCATCACCTCCTGTCAAACCACTTGACCCTTTCAGAGTCTTCCCTCCAAGCCATACTGGTTTCAGAATGGTCCTCTGAAGAGGCTGGGTGCATTCCTGCCTCTGCCTTTATCTACTGAAGGGTCTCTCACCCTGAGAGCCTTCTGTATTGGGCCTCAAGCCCCTTCTGATCCCGCACAGCCAAAGCGACCCCACCCCACACACCGAGTCCTTTCCCCTTTTCTCTCCTTACCCAGTCCACCCTCCACACCTCTGCAGCAGAGTTCTCCTGAGACTTGGATCTGATCTGTTGATTTTTCACCCCAAATTCTTTAGTGGCTACTTGCGGTTCTAGAGTAAGGTCCAAATTCCAAAGTATGGCCTTTAAAATTCACAGCACACTCAGCTACACTTGAGTCCTCACTATGTTAAGAATAGGCCGTACCAGGTGTGGTGGCTCATGCCTGTAATCCTGGCACTTTGGGAGGCTGAGTCGGGCGTATCACCTGAGGTCGGGAGTTTGAGACCAGCCTGGCCAACATGGAGAAACCCTGTCTCTAGTAAAAAATACAAAATTAGCCGGGCATGGCGGTGCATGCCTGTAATCCTAGCTACTCAGGAGGCTGAGGCAGGAGAATCACTTGAATTCGGGAGGCAAAGGTTGTGGTGAGCCAAGATCGTGCCATTGCACTCCACCCTGGGCAACCAGAGTGAAACTGTCTCCAAAAAAAAGGAAAAAAAAGAATAGACCAGGCTTGGTGGCTCACGCTTATAATCCCAGCACTTTGGGGGGCCGAGGCAGGTGAATCACTTGCGGTCAGGAGTTCAAGACCAGCCTGGCCAACACGGTGAAGCCCTCTCTCTACTAAAAATATAAAAATTTAGATAGATGTGGGTTTAAATCCTGTGACCTTAGGCAGACTGAACTTAACCTCTTTGAGCATTGGTTATCTTAATTCTACCACAGCAATTTTTTTGTCTTTTTGTTTTTCTCCTTTTTGTGGAGAATGGTGTCTTGTTATATTGCCCAGGCAGGTCTTGAACTCCTGGGCTCAAGCTATCCTCCTGCCTCTGCCTCCCGAAGAGTTGGGATTGCAGGCATGAGCCACAGCGCCCAGCACCACAGCAATGTTAATATAGACCCCAGAAAGTTGGTGGTGTTAATCGTGATAATATATGCAAAGTATCTGGTATATACATGCATCCTAAGAATGTTAGAACCTTTCCTTCTAGGCTGCATTTCTCCTTACACCACACAGTGCCTAGAACACAATAGGTATTTGCTTGTTTTAGGTTGCTGGTTGGCAGAAGCAGTAAAAAGTTTATTTATTTATTTATTTTGAGATGAAATCTCTCTCAGCTACCCAGGCTAGAGTGTAGTGATGTGACTGCTGTTCACTGCAACCTCTGCTTCCTGGGTTCAAGAGATTCTCCTGCCTCAGCCTCCCAAGTAACTGGGACTACAGGTGTCTGGCATCATGCCCAGCTCATTTTTGTATTTTAGTAGACAAGCGTTTCTACTAAAGGTTGGCCTTTAGTAGAAACCTTGGCCAGGCTGGTCTAAAACTCCTGACCTCAGGTGATCTTCCCGCCTCAGCCTCCCAAAGTGCTAGGATTACAGCTGTGAGCCATTGGGCCTTGCTTGATTTCTTAAGATCAGAAGCAGGGGGAGAGGGATGAGTGAGATAACAAACTCTACCCCCACATCCTATTGACCCTCACCAGGTGTATAATGAGTTCATTCTGCCCTCGGAGCGAGATGGATTTCTCAGACGGATTCGGGAGATTATCCAGAGAGTGGAGACCCTGTTGAAGAGAGACACTGGCCCTGTGGAGGCTGCTGAAGACACCCTATGTACCCAGGTCCGACCCCTCTGGACACTTCCAGGGGAAATGAACTCCCTGCTCCAGGCTTCATTACTCTCTGCCTTTAGCAGAGAGTAATTGGATCTAACTCCTCTTCATCTCTCGGGCCCTAAAACAGTGGCCCTTACCCCATTTGAGAATATGATGAAAGCCATGGACTCTTGTTCTAGAAAACTTGTTCAATGCATACTTTTAACTCATTATTTTGAAATAATTTCAGACTTGTGGAGAGAAGTTGCAAGAATTGTACAAAGAACCCCTGGACACCCTTTGCCCAGATTTGCCAGTTGTTAGTGTTTGGCCACCTTAGCATTATCATTCTCTCTTCCTCTCCCCTCTCTGTATGTGTGCACACATATATTTTTCTGAACCACTTGAGAGTAAGTTGCAGACATTATGCCCTTTTACCCCTACATTTCAGCACATATGCTACTGAATCCCTTGAAACTCATGTATGGACTCCTGGAGGTTCATGGGTCCTAGCTTAGGAACCCTGGTCTGAAACCTTCCATCTCAGACTGCTATTCCCGACTGTGACTATGGACTTCTTTCTCTGCCTCAGGAGGAGCCAGCACCATTACCTGCCCTGCCCGCCCCGCTCCCAGACTCATCCAACGGTACGTACTGTTGTGTCCTTGCTCATCCTAACCCTTGGGGTGGCTCCTGGGAAGGGCATAGGACATGTGGGACTGTCGTCTCAACATACCCTCCTTCCCAGCAGAGCCCCAGAGCAGCACCTCCCTGGAGCACAGGAGCTGGGCAGGCTTCTCTACCTCCTCATCTTCGGGAACTCCTTTGTCTCCTGGAACCCCCATTTCCCCAGGTCCCATCTTCCCCATCACGTCTCCCCTATGTCATTCCAGCCCCTCCCCATTCGCCCCCATTTCTTCCCAGGTCTCAAATCCCTTTCCACACCCCCCCAACTCTCTACTCCCGTTCTCCAGTGCCCCCGAGTTTCCAGTCCCACCCTCTCAGTTTCCCCAGAGTTCTCTCCCGAGTTCTCCACCTGCATTCTCTCCCAGTTGTTCTCAGGTCACTCTTAGTCCCCCTTTTGTTCCCCTGTGCCCCTCCACTTCTTCCCTCCCCTCCACCACAGCAGCCCCTCTCCTCTCTCTGGCTAGTGCCTTCTCACTGGCTGTGATGACTGTGGCCCAGTCCCTGCTGTCCCCCTCACCCGGGCTCCTTTCCCAGTCTCCTCCAGCCCCTCCTTGTCCCCTCCCTAGCCTGCCACTTCCCCCTCCCCTTGCTCCTTGTGGCCAGGAGAGCCCTTCACCCCACACAGCTGAGGTGGAGAGTGAGGTGAGTAGAAAACGAAGAGGGATGATTAGGGAGACTCCATCCTACACGTCTCCCTTCTCATGGACCTACACTTTCTAGGCCTTGCCAACTCCTGCTCGTCCCCTCCCAGGTGAAGCCAGGCTGGCACCCATCTCTGAAGGTGAGGCCTCTGATCACTGACTTTCCCCCGCCATTATCCCTACTTGCTGTCTATCCTGTCACTGACTGCTCTCCTTTCCTCATGGCTTCCTCCTTGTCACCCTACAGAGGGAAAGCCACAGCTTGTTGGGCGTTTCCAAGTGACGTCACCCAAGGAACTGGCTGAGCCTCTTCCCCTGCAGCCAGCATCCCCCACTCTCTCCGGTTCTCCGAAACCTTCAACCCCTCAGCTCACTTCAGAGAGCTCAGATACAGAGGACAGTGCTGGAGGCGGGCCAGAGACCAGGGAAGCTCTGGCTGAGAGCGACCGTGCAGCTGAGGGTCTGGGGGCTGGAGCTGAGGAGGAAGGAGATGATGGGAAGGAACCCCAAGGTGGGGGCAGCCCCCCACCCCTGAGTCATCCCAGCCCTGTGTGGATGAACTACTCCTACAGCCGCCTGTGTCTGAGCAGCGAGGAGTCAGAAAGCAGCGGGGAAGATGAAGAGTTCTGGGCTGAGCTGCAGAGTCTTCGACAGAAGTGAGTTCAGGGAGGATGGAGGAGCAAGAGGTGAACCTGGGAGAGCGAGGGGTGTGGCTAGCCCTTTCCTGCCTTCCATGCATCCTCAGGCACTTATCAGAGGTGGAAACACTACAGACCCTACAGAAAAAGGAAATTGAAGACTTGTACAGCCGACTGGGGAAGCAGCCTCCACCGGGTATTGTGGCCCCAGCTGCTATGCTGTCCAGCCGCCAGCGCCGCCTCTCCAAGGGCAGCTTTCCCACCTCCCGCCGCAACAGCCTACAGCGCTCTGAGCCCCCAGGCCCTGGTGAGACTGCAGTCACCCAGCTTCCATCTTTTCCCTGAGACCCCTTCCTATCCACTCAGTTTTCTCCAGGCCCTGGGGGTCTGCTCGGGGGGAGACTAGCCCCCCTCTCCCCACCTCCCTTTTCCTCACTTAGTGCTCTCCCTCCCCTATCCTGCTACCAGGCATCATGCGAAGGAACTCCCTGAGTGGCAGCAGCACCGGCTCCCAGGAGCAGCGGGCAAGCAAGGGGGTGACATTCGCCGGGGATGTTGGCAGGATGGTGAGGGCGGGCCCAAGGGAGGGAGAGCCCAGGGAACGGTACCTGGCTGCAGCTTTGCCTTCTTCCCACCTTGGAGGTTCGTCATCACTTTTCTTTTCCCTCCAGTGAATACTGAACAGAAGCCGTGTATCTCCCTCACACCAGGGCCCACCATGGAGCCTGTGTTCTCAGAATCTGATGCTTTTCTGACCAACACAACTGAGCAAGGAAGATCCCAGCACTGAGCCGGTAGAGGGCCAGGGGGGCATGGAGAGTGCAGCTCCATTATAGTGAAGAGCCAAACATATGTTGAACTGTTTGCTGTGTGGAGGTGTCAGTTCCACAGCCTACCATCTTCATCTACCCCCTCCCCTGCCAAGAGTCAACCACTAAGCAATCCCGCCCAATCCCAGATGCTTCTAAAGGGGCCCACTCCCAGCTGGGAGAGTGCAGGGGATATGCTCACACCACATTAGCAGCAACCAATAAAAATGCTGGAAACAAGGACATTGTGGATCCATATGCCATGCCTTAGAAACTGGGTGGTGGTGGGGGATGGGCAAAGCCCTGTGGGGTGAATGAAGCAGGGGAGGATTTAAAAGGGACTCTCTTTTCACCATGGGAGGCAGGGGTGGAAGCTGCCCAGCCCTCTGGCTTCCTGCCATCAGTTAATGAGGAAACTGCAAAGTCAGTGATCCACTTGACCAAGTTAGGATCCCCTCCAGATCCCACCGTAGACCTGTACAGGCAGGTACCAGGGAAAGTTAAAAGAATGAAGGCTGCTTGTCTCTCACCATTCATCCACCTCTCTCTCTCTCTCCCTCTCTCTGGTGATGGGAAAGTTACAGTATGTTCTTGTGGGTAGAGGGCAGAAGAGTGACCTTCCTTCCCCTAAGATGTGGGTTCAGTCTCAAAACAGCCCAGTGATCTCTCCCTTAAATCAGGTGGAAAGATCTCATGGAAAAAGTAATTCTAGTTAAACATTTACAGCTCCCTGGGGCAATGCCACCACTGCAGCTACCACCTGTGAAGCTTTCCAGCATGAAGTGCCATATGCTGCCTCACAGCCTCCACACTCACATGACTCCAGGAGAGATGATTCAGTTTATTATTCTCAACTTGACCCTATCTATCCCACTGTAGGCTCCAACACTGCACAGAGCTGCCACGCCCAACCCCATTAACAGTTGTGTCCCTGGAAGGTGAAGGGGGTAAACCATAAAGAAACTCTGGGAAAAGCCAAGGTCAAACGCACACTTCTCAAGGAAACAAACTACAAGAAAGGGCTCAGTCACCGTACACAGCAAATGTGCTGCAGGCAAAGTTCTGTTCTTTTGACAGTGGCCAAATGCATAACTCCCTGGTTTCTTGAGCTCAAGCATGGTCCAAGGTTAGTAAGGGTCATGGGGCATCATTCACCACGTGAAAGGGTTCCAGCAGGTTGGAGATGTCCAATATGCATCCATATTAGGATCCTGACGCCCTTGCCAGAGCTCGGGCTCGAGCAGCTTTGGCCTCTTCTTCTAGCTCATCTAGGAAACGCTCCTGAGAAACCGAGTAGAAGGTGTAACCATCTGGGGAGGTAGGTTCAGGAAACCACTTGGAATATGTACATTCCCCTTTGCTAAATTTGCTCTGCCACTCTTGTTACTCTCCCAAATCAGTGATTCCAGTGATTCCAGCTTCCCGCCCGCTGCTCTTTCTAGGCACTAAACTCCAACTCCGTTATTATTAATAAATCAAATTAAAAGAGTACCTTAGGAATAACAAGGGAAGCTACTAATCCCCTTTTACTCAAAAGTTAAACGGGTGGTTCGGCCTTCCTGCACATTCTGTTCCCTTGCCCCTTCCCCTATATACGGTCCCCTGGAGTCTACAACACGGGCGGATACAAATAGCTAACGCCAGGGCCCCGAAGCCTAGGCCGGTCACGATGTTCCGGGTCCGCCGCTGTGGTAGGGCCTTCTGCCACTGGGCAAGCTGCACCTGCCGCATGAAATGAAGTTGCTCAGGTGTCAGCTTATCCCGAGTCGGGTCGATACGCTGAGCGAACTGGGCCTCTCCAGGCTTAGCATCCAGAGGGTCACCACCGCCCGACGCCGCCATGTTGCCGCTCCTCCCTTTGCGGTCCAGCCGCGTGGGGCTCGCTGGGAACAGTAGTCCTTGGCCGCTGCGGTGGACGCTGGGAGTTGTAGTCCGCGTGCCCTTTCCCGGGCAGAGCCAAGGTTCTCGGGCACAGGGGGATGGACGCGAGAAGTGAGAAGCGGACGTGCTTTCTGATTGGCTGAGGCGTCCGCGGCCGTTGGGGCGGGAAAAAGCTGCGGAGGGTTTGAGGCTGTGGTGGGCATTGAGTTTTCCTCAGACTTGAGGCGAGGACACACGCGAGGAATCCAGGGTGTGGTGGAAGACTGGAGAGGAGCTAAGGGGGTCGGTATATGGATCCCGGGGACCGTCCAGGTGCCCCAAGAGGCTCGTGAATATGGACGGACCCATGAGGCCAAGACTGGCCTCCCTCGTTGACTTTCAGTTTGGAGTTGTCGCCACAGAGACGATTGAAGACGCCCTGCTTCACTTGGCCCAGCAGAACGAGCAAGCAGTGCGGGAGGCCGCGGGGCGGCTGGGCAGCTTCAGGGAGCCCCGGATCGTGGGTGGGGAGCTGGGTTCATGGGAGACTGGGGCACGTGTCTTTCAGGCACGGACCTTAAGATTCCGTTGATTTTATTCATTCAGAAAATGTTTGGTGGCCGGGCACGGTGGCTCACGCCTGTAATCCCAGCACTTTGGGAGGCCGAGGCGGGCGCATCACCTGAGGTTGGGAGTTCAAGACCAGCCTGACCAACATGGTGAAACCCCGGATATAGTGATGGACAAGACGCAACAGTCTCCCCTTGATTTCTTTGACGTGTATGGAGTAACTTACTAATGGCACTGCCTGGGTAGAAAGATGAAATAGAGGGCCGGGTGTGGTGGCCCACGCATGTAATGCCACACACTTAGGGAGGCTGAGACATCGGAGAATCACTTGAACCCAGGAGGCAGAGGCTGCAGTGACCCCAGATCGTGCCATTGCACTTCAGCCTGGGCAACAAGAGCAAAACGCTGTCTCAAAAAAAAAAAAAGAAAGAAAGTTGAAAAAGAGATAGAGGCCTTGCCTTCAAACCATGTGCAATTTGGGGGAAATATTAGGACAAATATGCAGTGACTAGGTACTATGTTAGATAAGTGACATCAGAGAGAAAGAGAGAGAGAGAGAGAGAGAAACAAGTGTTTATGGGGATTGAGAGGAGCAATGGGGTCACAGGAAGAATTCAGGGGATGGCCCAGTCATTGGAACTGATCAGGCAGACCTTGAAGGAAGGACGACATTGGGTTGGTGAAGGGGGAGGAAGGAGACAGCGTTTCTACCAAAAAGGGGTAGCATGAGTAAAGCTACGGAAATGGGGTGCTTGGAGGGCTTAGGGTGCATGTGGGTACAGTGTAGTCCACGTCGGCCAGTGTGGAAGGGTAGTTGAAATTAAGACCAGAAAAGTAGTTTGGAGACATTCCATGAGGAAGTTTGAACGCCAAGGGGGAGAGTTTATGCCTGCGTTAGTAGGAAACCAACAAAATATTGAAGGTTTTTAAATAAGGGAGTGATATGACAGTAACCCTGCCTTAGTAAGCATTATTTTGGCAGTGATGTAAAGGAGGTAAAGGATGGATTCAACCAGAGGGAGATAGAGGTAGGCAGACAGGTAGAGTCAATGTCTTTAGGCTAGGTGATAGGGCAGAGGGAATGACAAGGGAGAGTGGATTAAAAACATTCCAGAGGCAAAGTCTAGGGTTCTGCCTTGGATACATTTAAGAAATGAAGGAGGAAAAGGTGATTATGCCAAATGGTAGAACCTGAGAGACTCGGAGTTTAGTGGTTATTAAGAGAAACACATAGGCTGGGTGCGGTGGCTTACGCTTGTAATCCCAGCACTTTGGGAGGCCGAGGCAGGTGGATCACGAGGTCGAGAGATCGAAACCATCCTGGTCAACATGGTGAAACCCCGTCTCTACTAAAAATACAAAAAATTAGCTGGGCATGGCGGCGCGTGCCTGTAATCCCAGCTACTCAGGAGGCTGAGGCAGGAGAATTGCCTGAACCCAGGAGGCAGAGGTTGCTGTGAGCCGAGATCGCGCCATGGCACTCCAGCCTGGGTAACAAGAGCGAAACTCTGTCTCAAAAAAAAAAAAAAAAAAAAAAATACAAAATAAAAAATACAAAAATTAGCCAGGCATGGTGGCGGGCGCCAGCTACTCAAGAGGCTGAGGCAGGAGAATCGCTTGAACCTGGTAGGTGCAGGTTGCGGTGAGCCAAGATTGCGCCACTGCGCTCCAGCCTAGTCAACGGAGTGAGACTCTTGTCTCAAAAACAAAGAAAGAAAGAAAGAAACACACAGACACACTACACAAATAAAGCAGGAGGAAAAGTGACTGTTGTTCGGGAAAGATAATAATAGCTTTTTGGAGTCTGGCCAACATGGTGAAACTCCATCTCTACTAAAAATGCAAAAATTAGCCAGGCGCAGTGTCAGAAGAATCGCTTGAATGCAGGAGGTGGAGATTGCAGTGAGCCAAGATCGTGCCATTGCAATCCTGCCTGGATGACAGAGTGAGATCCTTTCTCAAAAAAAAAAAAAAAAAAAAAAAAAAAAAAAAAATATATATATATATATATATATATATATATATATAATAGCTTTGGTTTGGGATCTGCTAAGTTTACGGTGTTTGCAGAACATCTAAAGCAAGTGTTCTTGTAGACTATTCAAAAAGTAGGTCAGAAGAGAGGTCAGAAATGGAGATAAAAGTTTTCAAGTTATCTTCACAATGATATTGTTGAAACTGTGGCAGAGGATGAGCTCCTAGAAGGAGAAAAGAAAAGCAGGTCAAGGACAGTTCCTTGGGTAACACTTTGTGTTCAGGGGATTGGAGTAAGAAGACTTATGAAAGAAGAGGAGGAGCTAGGAACAGAACAAAAGGGACTTTTGGAAGCCAAAAGGAGACTTTGAAAAGGATGATGGTCAGCAGTTTCAGATGCTTTAGGGATATCAACAGAACTAAAGATTTTAAAAAGTCATGAAATTTAACAATTTGGACGTAGGTATTATCTTCTGAGAATCATTTCAGCAAGTTAGGAAAGGTAGAAACCAAAACGTAGAACATTAGGGAGTGAATGAAGTGGCAGCAGTAGGTGTGTAAGCCAGGCTTTCAAGTAATTCAACAGCGAGGCTGAGACGGGAGTATGGCTTGAGCCCAGGAGTTTGCGACCAGCCTGGGCAATATAGTAAGATCCCGTCTATTTATTATTAATTATTATTATTATTATTTTTTTTTGAGACGGAGTTTCGCTCTTGTTACCCAGGCTGGAGTGCAATGGCGCGATCTCGGCTCACTGCAACCTCTGCCTCCTGGGTTCAGGCAATTCTCCTGCCTCAGCCTCCTGAGTAGCTGGGATTACAGGCACGCGCCACCATGCCCAGCTAATTTTTTTGTATTTTTAGTAGAGATGGGGTTTCACCATGTTGACCAGGATGGTCTCGATCTCTTGACCTCATGATCCACCCGCCTCGGCCTCCCAAAGTGCTGAGATTACAGGCTTGAGCCACCGCGCCCGGCCATTTAATTTATTTTTTAAAAATTCAACAGCAATGGGAAGTAGAGAGGTGGAGCCCTTCCCTAAGAGGCTAGAAGGGGAGGGTCTTTTAGTTAATGCAGATCTGAGTATGCTTGTTAGCGAGGAGATGGGGTCAGTAGTAAGTGAGGGCATAACCCTCATCCATTCCACCGAATCCAAGCTCAGTTTTCTTGGCAAATTAAAATGGAAAACAGAAGCAAATGCCCAGATAATTCAGAGCAAAACCAAACCAAAACTAAACAACCTCACACATACAGAAAGAATAAAACTAAGAAAGCCTAAAGTCCAGCAAATAAAATGACTAATAATAGACACAATTATGTGTTCCAGAGTATTTTGCTGAGTTGCTTCAACTAAGTCTGTCCTGCATTGGACATTGCTAGCCGAACTGTAGCCTCTGTAATGATGAGGTTTTGTACATATATCTATGTGTAATGTGTGTTGAGTAGATTGTTAAAGTGTCTTGTGCTAGCTTGACTTCATTTTCTAAGAAAGTTAAATTTTTTTCTGAAGACATACGATTATTTGACTGTATGTGTAATTCTCTACTGATCAATGCTAAAAGGTCCTTGGTCTGTAGGAGCTTTTCTTTGTTGAGAACTGATATTTATCCTTGTTTCCACCCTCTAATGATATTACAAGCTAAATAGAACTCTATCTGGAGCTATTCTTTCAAAGAGAAACAGAGGCGGGCTAAAATCTTGCCAAGGTATCTCACCCTTCTCACCTTCCCAGTGACTCCCTCCCCCAAAATTGGGTTATGTTCCCTGATTTAGGGGATGTTTCTTCAAAACAAGCCACTTCACAGTAACACACTTGCTCCTGGGGAGAGGCTCAGCCACCACAGATTTACCCAACAAACTGGTGGTGGAGAGATGGTGTCCAGCTGTAAGGTGGCTTGTGTTTGTAAAGCAATGGGAGTTCTCCAGAGGGTGGTTACTAAACAAACAGTGTCATAAAGAATATTGAAGCTCCAGGAGGGACCTTTCTGTTCCTGCCAACATTCCACAGAAAACAGAATATAGGGGTTAGGGTTCTTATCCATCCAAGAATCTTCCTTGAAGCTGGGGGGTTCCCAGCATGGTGTAGAGGTCACCTAGACCAGCTGGTATGTTTGTGTGTAACTGGCCAAGCCTTTTATCAGCTGAGACCCACAGGAAGGCTCAAGGGTCACTGAGGGGGCTTGGTAAGCCCTTGCCTTTGGCACCCAGTCTGCCTCCTTTTCATGCCTCTGATCTGCCTATTGGCAGCAAAGGAAACTAAGCTCAGCTTTGGTTGTTTTAGTCTCATCTTTCTCACCTCCTGACCCTCTTCCCTTGGCCCTATCATGGCTTTTACACAACACCAAGAGTTCACAGAGTAGTTTTGGTTGCATCTTGTGAATTAGGCTGTTTTTTTCCTGTTTTGGCAGAGTTTGTTTTTCTCCTGTCTGAACAATGGTGTTTGGAGAAATCTGTGAGCTACCAGGCTGTAGAAATCCTAGAAAGGTAAAGCCCTGGCATAAGGCCTTTGTGAGTCACACCTCTCAGAGTGGCTAATGTACGTACATCTTTAATAAAGTACTAGTAGTTGCCTCGTACCCTGACACCTGGCTTTACACCCTCTCTCTTTAACTTGCAAATGTAAATGTCTTTGTTGTTATTGTTGTTTTGAGACAGGGTCTCACTCTGTCACCCAGGCTGGAGTACAGTGGCAGGATCTCAGCTCACTGCACCCTTGACCTCCTGGGCTCAAGCAATCCTCCCACCTCAGCTTCCTGAGTAGCTGGGACTACAGGCATGTGCCTCCACACTTGGCTAATTTTTTTTTTTTTTTTTTTTTTTTTTTTTTTTTTTTTTTGTAGAGACGGGTTTTCGCCATGTTGCCCAGGGTGGTCTTGAACTCCTGGGCTCAAGTGATCAGTCTGCCTTGGGGTCCCAAAGTGCTGGGATTACAGATATGAGCCACCATGCTCAGCCTCAAATGTAAATTTCTTAGCCAGCAAATTAAACTCCCTTTAGTTTGTGTTGAGTGTGGATTGTTTACTCTCTCCTTCCCTTCCTTATAGGTTTATGGTAAAACAGGCAGAGAACATCTGCAGGCAAGCCAGAATCCAGCTGAGAGATAATAAGAGAGAGTTTCAGAATTGGAGGGCTCTGAAAGAGCAGCTTTTCAACAAGTTTACTCTCCGTCTTGTGTCATGTGTTCAGTTGGCCAGCAAACTTTCCTTCCAAAACAAAGTAAGGAGCTGGAGTTGCTCATGGACACCTGAGTGTTAGGAAGAAACCAGCTTATACAAAGGGGGCTGTATGAGCTTCAAGTCAGTGACAAGAAGAAAATAAATAAATTACAAATTAAAAACAACAACGGGCCAGGTGCGGTGGCTCATGCCTGTAATTCCAGCACTTTAGAAGGCCAAGGTGGGTGGGTCATCTGAGGTCAGGAGTTCAAGACCAGCCTGGTAAAACCTCATATCTACTAAAAATACAAAAATTACCCAGGTGTGGTGGTGCATGCTTGTAATCCCAGCTCCTCGGGAGGCTGAGGCTGGAGAATTGCTTGAACCTGGGAGGCGGAGGTTGCAATGACCTGAGATTGTGCCGTTGCACTCCAGCCTGGGCAACAGAGCGACTCTGTCTCAAAAAAAAAAAAAGAAAAGAAAAGAAAAGAAAAAACCCAACAACAACAAAAAACAAGATAGCTGTGAGAAACCTACTCCTAGGCTAGGTGATACAACTCATGGAAATTCCAGAATGTAATTATGCTTCCTAAGCATACCTCCTACATACACACTCACTTTCTTGCTCTCTCTCTCACCTCGCTCACTCTCTCCACCTCCCCCCACCCCGCCACTCCCTCACTCACACAGAGGCAGTTGTTAAATATCCTGAAGTTCTGTTCCCAAAGTATAATTGGGACAGATGCCATCATTCATACCGGTCACCTTTCCTCCCCTTGGACTCAAGGGCAGTTTACATAAGGTTCCTGAATTGCCAGCATACCTATCAGCAGTAAAGGCAAACTACTACATTTATAAGGAAAAAAAATGTTTCCACATTCATTCAATAAATACTTACTGAGTTTATTCTATGGCCAGATGGTATACTAGGTGCCATGGCTACAACAGTAAAAAAATATTGTCTATGCTCACAAGGAACCTATTATGTAATGGGAAAAGACACATACAAATAGTGTGAAAAATGCTCTGATTAATGTAAATACAGAGGGCTATATATGTATCTCATCAGCCTTGGAGAATCAAGGAAGTGTATTTACAGAAAATGACTTCTTGAAATGGGTGGGGTGGGAGATGGGTGGATCCTAAGAGAAGAGGGAGAGGAGTTAGGGAGAGCAGTGAGGGGAAGGGAGGAAAGGAAGGGGGATCCAGGTATAGAAAACAGCATGCGTAGTAGCTTGGAGAGGGACAGCATGGGGACTTGGGAACTGCAAGTAATTCTGAATGACAAGCAGAGTATGAGGGGGAATTACCAAGAGACAAGACTGGAGATGAAGGAATGGGCTGGATTATAAAGGGCTTTGTGCACTCTGCCAAGATGTATGACCTTTATCCTAACATTCTTCTTTCCCCCCCTGTTTTTTCTTTGCTCAGATAATCAGCAACGTTACAGTCTTGAATTTCCTCCAGAGTCTAGGCTATTTACACACTAAAGAAGAATTGCTGGAGTCAGAGCTTGATGTTTTGAAGTCCCTGAACTTCCAAATTAATCTGCCCACTCCCTTGGCTTATGTGGAGATGCTCCTAGAGGTTTTAGGTATCTTATTAAGTGTGTCAGGGAATATGGGTTGGAGACTTCCATAGAAGGCAATACAAAGTGTGCACAGGAAGCGAGTGGCAGGTGCAATGCCTCACACCTGTAATCCCAGCCCTTTGGGAGGCCGAGGCATGTGGATCACTTCAGGCCAGAAGTTCAAGATCAGCCTGGTGAAAGCCCATCTCTACTAAAAATACAAAAATTAGGGCCAGGCACAGTGGCTCACACCTATAATCCCAGCACTTTGGGAGGCTGAGGTGGGTGGATCACGAGGTCAGGAGTTCAAGACTGGCCTGGCCAAGATTGTAAAACCCCATCTCTATCAAAAAACGTCAAAATCAGCCAGGTGCAGTGGCAGGTGCCTGTAATTCCAACTACTCGGGAGGCTGAGGCAGGAGAATTGTTTGAATCAAAGAGGCAGAGGTTGCAGTGAGCTGAGATCACACCACTGCACTCTAGCCTGGGTGACAGAGCAAGACTCCATCTCAGAAAACAAACAAACAAAAAGAAATTAGATGGGAATGGTGGTGGGTGCCTGTAATCCCAACTACTTGGGAGGCCCTGGGAGGAAGAAGTTGCAGTGAACTGAGATTGTACCACTGCACTCCGGCCTGAGTGACAGAGTGGCCTCCATCTCAAAAAAAAAATTTGCACAGAGGTTTGGGAGCAGTGAGCAAAACCTGCCAATGAGGAATAGTAGGAAGCTTGATGGTGTCTCTGGGTGACTGAAAAAGGTGTTTCCTCTGGCACTTGTCAGGGAAAGCAGCCCAGAGGTCTTAGTGACTGGTTTCTGTTTGGACTCACTAGTCACTTATTGCAGGATCAAAGAGTTGATTTTATAGACAGGCATAAGATAAGAGAGGGACAACTACATGATAATTGTATGTATACTACAAATGGAGGTTTATTTTTTATTTTTTTTAAGATGGGGTTTCACCATGATGGCCAGGCTGGTCTTGAACTCCTGACCTCAGGTGATCCACCCACCTCGGCCTCCCAAAGTGCTAGGATTACAGGCGTGAGCCACTGCGCCCGGCCACAAATGGAGGTTTCTTTACCTCACCTTTGTCCTTTAAAATTGATCTCCAGCTAAACAGATTTCTTATAGTAGAATACAGCAACCAGGAAGTACATTAGCACCCCAACAGCTTTGTCACAACTGTGGTTACGATCAGAGAAGATATGATAATAAATTCTTCCTATCATTCCCATACTCTATCTAGGATACAATGGCTGTTTGGTTCCAGCCATGAGGCTGCATGCAACTTGCTTGACACTGCTTGACCTGGTCTATCTTCTGCATGCACCCATATATGAGAGCCTACTGAGGGCTTCAATTGAGAACTCCACTCCCAGTCAGCTGCAAGGGTAAGACAAGTCCTATAGGGTAAGCTCCTTCCAGGAAGAGAGTGGGAGACAGACCACAAGAACTTGGGGGAATGGAATTAACCTAGCAAGGAATCTAGTCCCCAGATAACCTACTGAGCTTACCTGGTTCTCATTAGCTTCCAATATGTTGCTCGGATGCAGATGACTGAGCCTTATCAGGAAAACCCTAAAGGCTTTTACTTTTAAATTTAAATTACTTCAAGTAATTAACATATTTTCTTTCCTAGTTCTTCCCTTATAGTTGCATATAACTCAATGTTACTGGACTGCTTTGGTCAGTCACTTAGAAAAAAAAAGTCACAGGTAGAAGTGTTTGATTACTGTAAAGCCAGACTGGTTAAAAGCCCAAGTTACAATTGCTAGAGAGACAGATGGAACTACAAAAGGCCTATAAACCATTCAGACATGAGGCTCATGTTAATCCCCGTTAAATTGGGAGAGAATGGGAGAGCAGGTCAATGAGCTATTACTTGACCATTTCCTTCCATGTCTAAAAAATCCAAGATGATCAACACAAATAATTCATAGTTGAATTTCCATGACCCTATCTATGATTTGGAAGATCAAGTTCAATTCTAGCTCTAAAATTAATGTGGTTTTCATCACTCAGGGAAAAGTTTATTTCAGTGAAGGAAGACTTCATGCTGTTGGCAGTAGGAATCATTGCAGCAAGTGCTTTCATCCAAAACCATGAGTGTTGGAGCCAGGTAGGGACCACTGAGCAGGATCAGCATGGTGAGAATTCATTTAACAGAACACATTTCACCCATCAGTTAAACTGAAAACAACCTAAAGTGCCAAGACCAAGGATTAGGATGAGTATGCAAGATTTGAGGGGAAAATGTAGGATAGGACTGAAATGTTTCCTTGTTTTCCTTTTATAAAACTAGAAATGGAGGCCCGAGTTCAGCTTGTTCATTTCTCTTTATAATGATAACCTGCTATTATGTTAAAGTCCAGGCTGGGCATGGTAGCTCATGCCTGTAATCCCAGCATTTTGGGAGGTCAAGGTAGGAGGAGTTTGAGCCCAGGAGTTCAAGACCAGCCTGTTCACCATAGCAAGACCTTGTCACTACAAAAATTAAAAATCAGTCAGGGCTGGGCGCAATGGCTCATGCCTATATCCCAGCACTTTGGGAGGCCGAGGCAGGTGAATCGCCTGAGCTCAGGAATTGGGAGACCAGCCTGTGCAACATGGCAGAACTGTCTTTACCAAAAAATTTTAAAACATTAGTTGTGTGTGGTGGCACATGCCTGTGGTCCCAGCTACTCAGGAGGCTGAGGTAGAAGGATCGCTTGAGCCTGGGAGGTGGAGGCTGCAGTGAGCCAAGATTGCACCACTGCACTCCAACCTGGGTGATAAGAGTGAGACCCTGTTTCAAAAAAAAAAAAAAAAAAAAATCAGCAGCGCATGGTGGTACATGCCTCTAGTCCCAATTACTTGGACTATTTGGGAGGATCACTTGAGCCTAGGAGCTGGAGGCTGCACTGAGCCACGATTGTGCCACTGTACTCCAGCCTGGGTGACAATGAAACCGTCTCAAAAGAAAAAAAAAGGCCAGGCACAGTGGTTCACGCCTATAACTCTAGCATTTTGGAAGGCTGAGGCAGGAGGACTGTTTCAGCCCAGGAGTTGGGAGACCATTCTGGACAACACAGTGAGACCTCATCTCTACAAAAAGTAAAGAAAATTAGCTGGACATGGTGGCTTGTGCCTGTAGTCCCAGCTACTCAGGAGGCTGAAGTGGGAGGATCATTTAAGCCAAGGAGGCAGAGGTTGCAGTGAGCCAAAAATCACACCTCTGCACTGCAGCCTGGCAGCCTGGGCAAGAGTGAGACCCTGTTTCAAAACAAAACAAAGTCCAATAACTGTATCTCCCAAATAATGAAAATGCCAAGGCCCAAATATTGGTCTTACATTTCACAAAACTTATCTCCAGCAGAGGGAAATAAAGTCTAGCAGAAAGTTTCCATGCTAACATTATCAGGGCAAAGGTATCCTAATGTAATCTGGCCATTGGCAAACACTAGAATCTGGATTTTAGAAAAATGAAAATTTACAATTGCCTTGAGAAAACATCCCAAGTAATGTGTGTGTCTGTGCACTAAAATATGTTGAGATTTTTTACTAATAAGAAATCTGTCTCTATTTCTGAAGGTTGTGGAGCATTTGCAGAGCATCACTGGTATTGCCTTGGCAAGCATTGCTGAGTTCTCTTATGCAATCTTGACTCACAGCGTGGGAGCCAACACTCCAGGGCGACAGCAGTCTATTCCTCCCCACCTGGCAGCCAGAGCTCTGAAGACTGTTGCTTCCTCTAACACATGAAGCAGGCTGAATCCACCAAATATAAACAGCCTTCCATCACTGCACTCATGCCTCCCTCTGTTTACTTTCATACTCAGGGTACAAAAGTTCCAAGTCTCTCTTCAACTGTATTTTTATGCCAATTTCATGCTTATTTTTTCTTTATCAGAGAGAGTTAAGGCAGACAAACATGCCCTTTTTGTCCTATCTGCCTGAAAATAAAAGCTAGGTGGAGAGAAATTAATAAAGTTGGTGCATTTTTGTTTAACAAGATATTTATACTTTTAACTTCATTAAGAGGAACATCAGGCATGGAGATTAGTATTAATCAGGGGCTTACAGACTATCTGGGTGACCTTGACTAAGCATCAAGGAGGTGGACTTTATTGCCCCTTCCAATTAGTTTAACATCTCCGTTCCATTATTGAGATCTACACAAACTGGGCTTCCTCAACAGCTATCTATTTTTACTAGAGTTTTTTAAAACTAAAACTAACTCTAGGCATATTTAAACAGAATTTCCACATACCTGCATTAGAACTCAATTCTCCCAGACTACAAAGTACTCTATTTTAAAGAAAAACCCACAGTGCAACTCTGGGCAGTTTTCAGACTGTAGCAAATCTTTTATTACAAATAATTAAATCTCTCCATAATGTCTCAAACAGTATCAAACACTATTTCATATCTCTAACAGAGCAGAGTCGGCATTCAGTATGAGAACCGAGTGAGAAGTGTTAAATTTCAAGTGTCTGATCACATCGCATGGTGACCAGCTAAAGCTTGGATGTCATTTTCCCACCTTATCCAACTGTGCATCTCAAACATATCCTCGTCTCAGTAGAGACAAAAGTTTCTGTTTCATATTGTTAAGTGCAGGAAGCTGAGAGAGATAAAATCCAGTGAAAACACATCAATCTCAATTCAACTCAGTTTTTAAAAAAAAGCAAATTTAAATTAGTTGTTTTCAGGGAAGAAGGGGAAAGGAGTCCATGGAGTTAAGAGTCAAAATTATGACAAGGGCTGGCAGCTATACATGGCATGTTGTAGGTCTGGAAACTATCTGTCACATGATATTTTAAAATAAAGTGGCTTTTGTGGATTTTTTTTTTTTGGTATTGTAAACATGTGCTGTTTAATATTACCCGAATTTAATTTAAAACATGTTTGCAAACAAAATTTAAAGCCTTTAAGGCAAACCTCTCCCTAAGGAAAAAAGTCATTTGTTATAAAATTGTGAGGATACCCAAGCAAGACCCCACTTAAGATTCGTCAGCATGAACTTGAGAGCTTTTGTCCACTGCTCCTCAGAGTTAAACTGGGTTTTGATGGAATAGGAGCCGCCGCTGCCTCCTGTGTCTTCAATCTTGCCTTTCTCCACATCCATCCTGCAGATGGACAAAGCAGAACTCATTAGTAACTGAGATCTGAGTTAAGTCAGTTCAGGACTTGATCATGAGACTATTCACGTCATTTTATCTAATAAAGAACACTTGGTGAGGACTGGTAGTGTATTTTGGAATTGCTTGAAAGCCAAAAATCAAGAAGACTGTCACAAGAGCCTCATTGTCATTGCAAAGTACAGGGACAGGACACACACCCAAACAGAAGAGAAGCCGGGAGCAGGGGTGTGTGAGGGTTACAGTACTTGCTGTTTTCCTAGGCATCCCTGAACTTGGCAGGGGAGAAAGGAGGCAGAAGAAAAGAAATGCTTTGTTTTGGGATGATAGAAGCAGCCTTACTCTAGGTAAAAACTAGAATTTCCATCCACCACTGGGATCCTAAAAAATTTGACCAAAAGAAGCATTCCTGTATATTTCCAAGGGCTTCAGGGAAAAACCTTCTTGAAACTGGAAAGCAGGCTTGAGCTCTGTGCCAAGAAAACCCCCTAAACCTAAGGCAACATCCTTCTATTCCAGAGACTAGGTGGTCACATGCTGTCCTGCTTGCAGTATTGGATCAGTCTTTGCCCATCAATGTCATGTGATTCTGTGCCATTTTTTGCTTTCCCACCATTTATACTGTTTTGCCTCCATTCTTACTGCTGCTTCAATTCTGTTCAATTTGGTCCTATACAGGTTCACTCAGCACAGGGGTATACTGACCTGTAGGGAAGACAAAAACGTGTCTCGCCTTTCTCAACCTCTTCTTTGAACTGTTGCACACAGTCCAGGAAAGCCACCATTGCATGGTCAAACTTGTTGTCCCAGAAAAACCGCAACCCCCCAGAACAGTATAACGGCAGCTCCTGCCCAAGAAGAGAAAACTGGCTATGCATATGGCGCCAAGACAAGCTTCCAGAGATTGTTCCCAATCCTATCAACGTCTCAAGTCATCTTCTGTCTGTATCCCACTGGAAATTTATATTGTGGCTAGACTCTTATCTTCCATAGATTTGAACAACTACAATAACCTTGGGCAAATAACAATGCACTTAGAACTGTCTCACCGTCAGTGAAAATGTACCATAGGTTGAGCATCCCTAATCCAAAAATCTAAAATGCTACAAAACCTTTCCAGGAAGAGTAGATGGGGAAAGAAATATAAATAAATTTAAAATGCTACAAAACCTGAAACTTTTTGAGCATCAATATGATGCCACAAGTGGAAAATTCCATAAATTCCACAACTGACACCTTTGCTTTCTGATGATTCAATGTATCACGAAACACAAGCTTTGTTTCAGGCACAAAATTATTTAAAATATTGTATGAAATTGCCTTCAGACTACATGTATCAGGTATATATAAAACATAGAGGCCGGGCATGGTGGCGCACGCCTGTAATCCTAGTACTTTGGGAGGCTGAGGTGGGTGGATCACCTGAGGTCAGGAATTTGAGACCAGCCTGGTCCAACATGGTAAAACCCTGTCTCTACTAAAAATACAAAAATTAACCAGGTGTGGTGGCAGGCACCTGTAGTCCCAGCTACTCAGGAGGCTGAGGCAGGAGAATTGCTTGAATCTGGGAGGTGGAGATTACAGTGAGCCAAGATCATGCCATTATACTCCAGCCTGGGCAACAGAGAAAGACTCTGTCACCAAAAAAAAAAAAAAAAGAAAGAAAAAAGAAAAATGAATTTTGTGTTCAGACTTGGGTCCCATTCCCAAGGTATCTTAATATGTATACACAAATATTCCAAAATCTGAAAAAATCCAAAATCTAAAACACTTCTGGTCCCAAACATTTTGAGCAAGGGATACTCACCCTGTAAACATCTCATGGTGATTCTTTTCCTATGCTAGTGTACACACCCTCCTCTGACCTGCCCATATCCCTTCTCAACAGACTATCAAAACCTAATTTTCCTCTACAAGACCCCCAAAACTAAATCTGAACTAGACAACATATTGAACAATACACTGGCTTTTCATATATCTCAGTCTAAAAAAGAAACTGAATGCCAATGCCAAAGCAAACCTTTGTTAACAGATACAAGAACTCTGTATTCCAGTGAAAATGGAACTTCACAGAATACCTTAGATTTGTCTGTCAGAGACTCCAGATACGAATGGTTTCCATAAGGAACAAGTCGATACCTAAAATAGAGACACAGACAGAGATGGATACAGAACTCCTAAAGAGATTACTGGGAAGTTATAGCCAAATGATTTCACTCTTCATTCTAGCCAAGGGCTTCTTTTATTCTAACTCCCTCTCCCACCTCCCCACTGGATCCATGGTTAAAAGATTTTGTTTAACGAACAGACTACATTTATTATATAATTGCTTGGTGGGGCCTTCCATGGACAAATGTTGTATTTTGGTTTAGATTTAGGAAACGAAATCTGAATATCCTGAGGAACTCCAAGCTTCTGGGACCTGTAGGCTGGGAACTACACTGTGGTCATGCAACTCAGTGACTGTCTTCAGTGGAAAGGGCCCTGTGATGGGGGGAAAACCAGATGCTGACAGCTCTCCAACCACAGAAAACTCCCCGTCTGTGGGCAGCAAGGGGTCCTGACATGGTGGAGAGCAGTACCAGTGGAAATACAGATTATATCAAAGACAAACCACTCCCCAAGAAAGGGCTACACTTCCTACCTCTGAAATTTCAGACCCATCTTATTAGCCAGAGCATGGAGCAGCAACACAGTTTGGCCCCAAGCAGCATTAATCTCATTCCATTCCACAGGAACACTGGGCAGGCGACCCAGCCTGAAGTTATTGATTGTGCCAAACTGTCCACTGTGCCTACAGAGGAAGGCAGAAAGGTGGAGAGAAATACAGGTATTACTTCAAACTTTTGAGATTGCCCACTCTCACCCCAAACCCAGATTAAATCTATCTTCAAGTTCGTATATGCAAGCTGTACTTGGCACTTTAAATATATGTCCAAAACTTGTGTCATCATCTTTTCCCCTGCTGCTCATACGCCAAAGCAGAAAGCTGGGTGGTATCCTTCAATGCTCTCTCAGCTCCTTCCCTGCAAAACTGCCAAACTCTCCTGATTCTACCTGCTAAATCTCTTACATCTGTCCACTCTTCTCCAAATGCAATGCTACTGCTCTTTTCCCTTAGATTCCTAATGACGAGCATCCTCACCAACGATTCCACCCCTTTATCCCAAGTCATTCCCCACCCTGCAGGTAAAGCCATCGTTCACAAGTACAAGTGAAATTATGTCACCTCCCCAGCTAAAATGCTTTAGTGTCTCCTACTGCCTTTTGGATCAATTCCAAACCTCTTAATAAGGCCTATGAGACCCTTCAGGAACTGGTAACTCTCCAGTTTCACATTCGGTCACTCTCCCCTATACACTCAATCTTCAGTCACAATAAGCTCCTTCTAGTTCTCTGAATTCACCACTCCCTCTTTCCTGTTTCTTTGCACATGATGTTCTCTCTGCTAGGAACAACCCCCCTCTTTGCAGACTTCTACTTTACCTCTCAGTTTAAACGTGAGTCTCCTGTGGGGAAACTCTCCATGTGGCCTCCCCAAACTGGATCAAGTGCCCTTATGTGTTCCCACAGCACCCTGGGTTTACCATCATCACACTGCATTACAACCGCTTGTTACTTATCCCTCCCACCAGAGTATAACCAACTAGAAAGTTGACTGCATACTATTTTGCTATTGTCCTCCTAGCACTTAGTACAGTGCCTACGGCAGAGTAGATGCTCAACAGTTTTTAGTTAAATTGATAAAACATCAAATACCCTGGGGACAAATCAGTACCAGGCAGTTGACTAGGTTTTTAAGTGGCTGAAGGCCTCAGGCCTTTTCCTTTCCTTAGAAGGGTGAATGTCACCAAGCTCTAGAATTCCAATCCCTACTGTGCCTATCCCATCACTATGAATTAAAGAAACCTAGCTGGGTGAAGAGAACCTACGGTCCCTCTTTTGTAGGCAGTAGGCACCCAGTTTTAATGGTCAACAATTAAGGTCCAGATATGTGCAGTGCTCCTCATCCCCCAGATCTCATTACCAGATGTGGAAGGTTGCATTAAAGACGTTGGTTTTCTTCAGCTTGTCCAGCTGCATCTGGGCATAACGCATCTGGTTTTCAACACTCTTCAGCTCATCATCCAGCTCCAGCTGTTGTCGTTTAAATTCACTGTATTCTCTCTGATACCTGTGAGCAGCCAACAGGACCACTGAAGGCTATTAGTTTGGGGGCTGAAGTTTCTCTCTCCCCACACTATGCACAATTATTTAGTAATCGGTTACATCTAGCTCTAGCATCTTTTACATTTGGCATAGATTCCACTCAGAGAACATCTGTGTCCTAGCTGTGTTGCCTGGGAGGAACAGAAATGTCTCACATTCCCAGCTGCCCACATGCAAAAAGGTGGAAGAAAAAAATAATTCTCCCAAACCAGGCCAAAAAAAAACCTCTTGCTATTTCTGATTTTTTTCAGAAGAGAGGTGAATGGTTTAAGAATGGCATCTTCCAGCTGGGCATGGTGGCTCACGCCTGTAATCACAAGACTTTGGGGGGCTGAGGCAGGTGGACCACTTGAGCTCAGGAGTTCAAGACCAGCCTAAGCAACATGGGGAAACCCTGTCTCTATAAAAAATACAAAAATTAGCCAGGTATGGGTGGTGCACACCTGTAGTTCCAGCCATTTGGGAGGCTGAGGCAGGAGTATTGCTTGAGTGG